AGAAAGAAATATGGATGTAAGAAAGAAAGGAAGAAGAAAAAAATGAAAGAAACTAACAAACAGACAACAAAATACATATCATATACGCAAAACGAACGAAAGAAAGAAATGAAGAAAGCAAGAAAAAAAAAAAAAGTAAGAATGAGCGAACAAACCCTCGAACGAAAAAAAGAAAGAAAGAGAGAAATAAAGAAACATACAGAATCTAAATCGAAGCCAATAACGTAAAATCATTTATCGTCTGCCTGGCGCCTGTTTTATCTAAAACTGACATTTTGTTGCCAGGCAGCTGTTCTCGGGCCTAAATACAACTCAATAATCAAAATAATAAATAAAACTTACAACTCCACTTTCAGAACCTCTAGATCCCAAACCATACACCCCGATTCTTACACAATGCATCAAAATGGGGCTGGAGTACATTGCATACAATGTATTTTGGCTTGGCTGGACAGCACTTCCGTTGATGTAAATCTTCCCAGGGCCTCACCGCAAAATCGCTTCGGGCACCATTCACGCCAAAACCAATTTTAGGAAAAAAAAAAAAAAAAAAATTCATAATTTTCATTTTTTCAAATTCCTCATCATTTTGTCGCCCTTACTTGTCGAAATCTAACGCCGCAATGAGTACTTTCAAAAAATAAGGAAAAATAAATTCGAAATAAATTTAAGCAATAATTATTCCACGCTTTGTTTTTTGTTTTTGTTTCTGTTTTGATTATTTCCTTTTTCAAAAAAAAAAAAAAAATATATTAAAAAAAAGAAAATATATTACTTCTATTTTTTTTTTTTTTTTATTTTTTTAAATTTTCTTTTTAATTTTTTTTTACCCTCTTCTCTCGATTTCAAAGAACTTGACCCAAAGGATTTGCGTTTTGAAAACGCTAAATAATTTTTCGAAGAAAGTTGTCATACATTATCCAACGTCTCCGCAAAATTTTTCAAATTATTTTTTTACGAAAAAACAAATCCTTGAGGCTAGAACGATTTCGCTAAATTTATTCTCAACAGAATTTGCGGTTACATACTCGTCGGAGGGGAGTGATGAAACCATTGTTGAGTCAGAAAAATTTTATTTCTTAAAAAGTGAAGCCAAAAAGTGTTTACCAATTCCGTCGAAAAGGACAGCAAGATGGTGGCAATCATGGCTCTCCGCAATTTCCTGTCATTTGTAGCAACAAATTCAGCCACAACATGAACACAAGACAATGATTTTTGTGTCCTCACTTATAAGCGATACGCTATGCTCACCTCAAATATATATATATATATATATATATATATATATATATATATATATATATATATATCATGTATCGTTCTACCTGCCATTCAGGAATAATGCACCATCAAGAAGTAAGCATCAGTCGACTACATGAAATAGAAAAAGAAAATAAGACAGCTAACAGTGTTCCTTAGATACAATACATTCTCCTGTACTGTTTGTGGTCTTTTGTGCAATTCTCGAACTGGCCTCAAAAGTCATGCAGATAATTAGTTCGTGGTGATCAGAACGTCATATATATATATATATATATATATATATGTGTGTGTGTGTGTGTGTGTGTGTGTGTGTGTGTGTGAAAATATAAATATAAATAAATATAAGTATGTATAATTATTTATATATTATATGCGCGCGGGAAACCCAGGGTCACAAACTCACATCTATCCAACCAAATATATATATATATGTATGTATGTATTGATAATATTAGTGGTTCATATACACATACATATGCAATCATATATCTAAACTATATAAATATATATACATACATACACATACATATATATATATATATATATATATGTATGTATATATATATTTATATATTTATATATTTATATATATATATATATATATATATATATATATATATATAAATTAATCCAAAGAGGATAGAATCCAGGTAGAACTCAATGTCCAGGACAGAGTAAGGATATAATAAAAAGGCTTAAACACTAATATTCCATGGTCATATTTTATTCCATTGGAATCGCAAATATGATCCAATTTATCAGACCTACAAATTAAATATATATATATATATAGATAGAGAGAAATAGATAGATAGATAGATAGATAGATAGATAGATAGATAGATAGAGAGAGTGACAAAGAAATCCCTATTTTCTGTATGAGTGACCAACCAGGAGGCCTGATTTAATACCTTGTGACTTTTTTCCTTTGTAATTGGTTAAAGAAAGAGACTATAGAAACCAAGACTTTGAAGAACTTGAAAGTGTGGTTCAAAAATTATGTCTTCCATACCACAATAGTTTCTGTATGAACCAACCTCTCAGGCCATGTCTTATAAAAACTATAGTTAATGAATAAAGTATTTAAAAATGGGGAGTTAATTTCTACCATTCAGTATCGACCCCTACTATAGAAACCAAACAATATTTTGAATATTATATATATATATATATATTTATTAAAGACATTTTTATGTTAAACGGAAGAAGTATTTAAGAAATGCTCTGTTTATAATAAACAAAAATACAAGAATGTCCGAGTCATATTCGTCTTCCAGGATTCGAACCTGCATCCTATACGGAACCGTCAATTACTCTGACGTTCCTGATTCGATCGAGTTATAAAATTCTTCCATAATTCCTCTCATATCCATGTCTTATAAAAAACTAATAGTTAATGAATAAAAGTCCGATTTAAAAACATGGGTTTAACGTTAATTTCACCATTCAGTATCGATTTACCCCTGAATACCGAGAAATTTTCATAGAAAATATTCTTTTGATCGAACCTGTCCTAGGAACCGTCAATTACCTGACGGCCTTAACCGACGGAAAAGGCTGGTCGTTTACTGTTATATTTTCCATGAATCTCGAATATTCATATATATATATATATATTTTATTAAAGACATTTTATGTTTAACCTTCTTTTTATAGATACAAGTATTTAAGTAAATGCTCTGTTTATAATAAACAGTATTAAATAACATTTACCGGCCTTAATGTCCGATTTTCATAGAAAATATTCGTCCTTGACAGGATTAACCTGCATCCTATACGGAACCGTCAATATTCGTCCTTTGACAGGATAAACTCGAACATTCATAACTGCATCCCATACGTCATATATTAAGAACAAAGTCCGACAATTTATTTATCAATTCTTTTTTATAGATACGTATTTAAGTAAATGCTAAATAAACAGTATTAAATAACGGCTTAATGTCCGAAAGGAGAAAATATTCGTCCTTTGACAGGATTCGAACCTGCATCCTTACGGAACCGTCAATTACTCCACGAATCTTAACCGACTCGGCTACAAAAGAGCGTTCGGTAGGCAAAGAGTCGAATTTACTGTTAAAACTTCATTCTTCCATGAATCTCGTACATTCATAACTGCTCATAGCGTATCAAATGTAAACAAATGACGTCATATATTAAGAAATGGACAAAGTCCGACAATTTATTTATTAAAGACATTTTTATGTTTAACGTTCTTTTTATGGATACAAGTATTTAAGTAAATGCTCTGTTTTAATAATGGCTTTAATAAATAAATTGTCGGACTTTGTCCATTTCTTAATATATGACGTCATTTGTTTACATTTAAATTATATATATATATATATATATATATATATATATATATATATATATATATATATATTATAAATTAACTGATTTAAAATATGGTTTCTTCGCTACACAGGAATTACCATATTTCAAAAACCGAAGCTAAACACTTCTTATTTAATTATATAATTAAATTAAAACCATTAGTTTTGTTTCATTTTCAAGCGAATTTTGGAACCACTATCATCGCATTATAACCATCACAATTACAACTTTTTAATAATAATATACATATATATATATATATATATATATATATATATATATATATATATATATATATATATGGGGGTTGTTTGTGTTGGGGTGCAAAATTCTCAAATCGTGTAACAGTAAATTTGTCCAATTGTTAGATTCAGCTTTGAACCGTTGTATTTTAGAGATGATTAAATATATATTATTGAAATTCTCTGAGGTTTTTATAGCACATTTGGGCTCTACTTTGAACAATAAGGATGTATTTAGCATCATATGCAATCGTCAGGCCACGTGTAATGTTACACAAATAAACACAAATTAAAAACTGTTTCTGCCAAAATAATAGTTAGAATAAAACTACAACAACCAACCCCCAAACGGAACAAATAGCTTTAATTAGATTCTCAAACCAAAACAAAACTATTAAATAAGTGATACAAACAAATTTTTACTATGTTAATAAAAAACACCGATTAAAAAATAAGTAAATAAATAAATAAATAAAATAAGAAACAAAAAATAAAATTAAATAAAAACAAGCAAAATATCTATCTATCCAAATATATATTTCCGGTAAAATAACCGCAATAATAGTCTACCCACAATGCACCACTGACCCGTATATGTATAAATAGCCGAGAAAAATAACAGCACACGTGGCCTGACGATTGCATATAGCATGAAACAGACTGTCGCCTCTAAGTGTTGACTTCTATGTTCACTTTTATATATATATATATATATATATATATATATATATAAATATAAAAGTGAACATAGAAGTCAACACTTAGATATATATGTTCACTTATATATATATATATATATATATATATATATATATATATATATAGAAAAGTGAACATAAAAGTCAACACTTTGTTATATACAATCGTCAGGCCACCTGACGATTGCATCTAGCATGAAACAGACTGTGGCCTCAAAATGTTGACTTCTATGTCCACTTTTATAATATACACACGCTCTATCTCTGATATTGATCACTTTATCCCATAAGTATAGAACATCTTAAGATTATATATATATATATATATATATATATATATATATATATACTGTTGAGGATAACGTAGCATATCGGTTACTAAAAAACAGGAAAGTGGAATTGGCTCATTGTCTTCAAATACTCTCAGAGTTCGTTATATGTACTTACTTACAAATGACATTTACAATGTTATGAATCCATTTTTTCACCGTGCGCTTCCAACTAATGGTTAAGAATTAGCCAACCGTCTTGACTGCCAACCTGGACAGGACAGATGACAATTTTGCATGCAAATCTAAACAGGCGAAGGGCTGACATCTCCACTCCCGTAAAAACGTACATGCTACCGTTCACACAGAGGCATCACTTGGTGTAGTGAATCTACGGTCTTATAACCCCCAAAGTCTTATGGCACCAAGGAGGAAAATATGTCTATTGTGGCACGGAGGGGTGATAACGATTTTTTGTTGATTTGTTACATCGAAAATGCACATTGGCTATTCCTTTGCTCTTGTTGGTTTTAGTGTTACTTTCATTTTGGAAGTTTTGATCATTCAGGAATTTTTTTTTTCTGCCAAGTCAAAGATGATAATCGCGGAGAAGGAATTTGGCGAATCGTTAATAAGCTTTTCGTAAGGCCCGTAATTCTTTCGCCAAACGTCTTTGTAGTTCGATGCACCGATTCGCCTGAACTGAATTCCAGGCTGCTTCATAGAACAAAATTACATTCTCATCTGCTCGCCAGAAATCAGCTTTATTATTTATTACTTACTAGAAATACTAAGGCGTCTAGAAATACTCATAGTATTTCGTATTGTTGAAGATATCACTAACATTTTTTGTCAAGATTTACAAACTCACAGTTTCCTTTAATTTCGTAAGCCAATCGGTGAAATTTGACTAAGCTAATAATTTCTTTAATTCAATTTGATCTTTTAGAACTTCAGGCTAAACAATGATTTAAGACCTTTTTTTTTTCCTTTTTAACGGCGAAGAATAAATTCTTAGTATTTCTTACTCTTGAGCATGCAACATATAACTGGCCATGTGTAATTAACTCTTTCTGGAGCTAAATTCCAACTTTTTGAAGCATTTCGTCTTGTGATTTGAGTATAGTTCTCGCAAACGCAGGGCGAACTGGAAACTGGATTCTTGTATATATAAAAACATAAAGAAAAGATATGCAACAAACAGAATTGCATTATTATTAAATAATTATTTATTTTAATTATTAAGTTATTTTAAAATAGTGAGAGTATTTTGCATCGTTGCAGTATGAAACACAGGTGGGCTCTGTGGGTGTTGAGCAAGCAAACTCAAATGTGCCCGAGCAAGCAATAGGGATTGGCTATGTGTGACCAGCTATTATACACACGCACACACATATATATATATATATATATATATATATATATATATATATATATATCTGTGTGTGTGTGTGTGTGTGTGTGTGTGTGTGTGTGTGTGTGTGTGTGTGTGTGTGTGTGTGTTGTAGATCTTAGCGTAGCTTATCGGTTAATAAAGGCTAGGAATGTGGAATAGGCGTGTTGTCTTCAAATACTCTCAGAGTTTGTTTCGTGTACTTTTGCACAAATAACATTTGGAATATAATTAACATTGCATTTTTATTAAATAACTTTTTTTTTAATTATTAAATTATTTAAAAATAGTGGGAGTATTTTGTATATTAAATAATAAAACTAAGTTTTTCTCAAAAACAAAAAAATTAAATACTTAAAAATAAGCCTGTTAAAGCAATGGAGAACTTGGAGAGGGGAATTAACAGGAGATAACTGATAACTGACATCCATTAGACATGGCACGTGGAACTAGAAGCAAACGAGTGAAATAAAGGGTTCATTTTGACATTCCAACGACCTGAAGAAGACCGGAGCGTACAACGGTCGAAACGTTGTGATAAACATGGCAACAAAGATGAGGACGATAGTCCGAACAATGTAAATAGTCTACGGACTCTAGTAAAACTAATTTTACCTTATACCTCCCCCCCTTACCTGTTTGCACCAAAATTTGGTTTCCATCGGTCAATGTATGGCTATTCTAGGAGGTGACTTTAGACACATAAATAAAACAATCCATACATCAAGTTAAAAGTAAAAATAAATTCACCCTTGTTAATGGCTAAATGTATAACCGAATCAAAGAGCTGAGTTCGTTACCAGTGGAATCCATTACATTCACTTATGTTCTACTAACCTTGGGAAAGGTATTATTCCTCATCTTCTCCCCTCCAGCTATGGGTAAATAGCAGGACAGACTGGGTCCAATAGACTTGGATGGCAACTGGTCTATGGGAAGGACAACTCTGTATTCAAAACCTGTGGAGAGTCCTTTGAGGACCTTGTGACATTAATGTACCAGGTCTCTGTATTCGGCCCTTCAAAAGTGTGGTTGGTTCTGCACAAAGCCTCTCACCACTATAATCAAATCATATGTGCGGGTATCTGGCTGTCGGTTCCTATGAACTGAACTGCTTGACCCTCATACATCGAATACGACCACCATATTATATATATATACACACACACACACACACACACATATATATATATATATATATTACGATAAACGTGCAATCAATTTACAAATACATGAATTATTCACACAAAAACTAATGCAAAGGTTAATGATTTAAATGGCGAGACATCCATCATCGCAAACAATTCAAATAATATACAAAAACCTCCGAATCCGTTATGAATGAAATGATCCTTGTTTATATAAATTTCTGCCGTATTAGTTCTTATTTTTACTACAAGCTTTCGTCTGTTCCTACAGACATCTTCAGGTATAGAATAGAAGATGTTTTTGTTTTTTCTCTTAGTAATAAGAGGACAACGAAAATATATGTATTGTTGTATTCGAAAATACTATAATTATTGAACAATATAGTTCATGCCACTTTGACAGAAAAATTTACCAGTAAAAAATTTGTTCATCACCATATTTTATATGAACGCACAACCTTTAAAAATTTAAAATCAAACTCAGCGTTGCTTCTGCGCGCTCCAAAAACAATAACTCATTTTCAATAGCATATTGTGTCAGTGTTCATTGTCGATATTACTGAGTGTTAATCAAAGCACCTTGTCTATCATATTTAATAAAGCTTATATATATATATATATATATATATATATATATATATATATATATATATATATACGGCTCAGTTTTGGCAGAGGTTTTGCCAGTCTAACAAGCCACATAAAAGTTTCACGTGTTTTCTGATTTGCATAACTGTTAGGTGACCTTACCTATAATAACATAATGGACTATTCCATACGTAATAAATACTGCGCCTCAAGAGGAAGCAGGGAGTTCAGTCCGAAGTCGGGCGACCGGCTGATCGGCTGATCGGTCGAACTCTCTGCCTTCGGGCGGGGAGGAACCCGAACGAGGCTACGCCGAAGGGCGGAGTCTCTTTTGGGGAGTTAAATCGACCCTGAACCCGTTTATACGGGTCAAAGGACATATTTTTAGCCGAGCCCACGGGCTCGGAGATCCCACGTTAAACCGGCCTTGTGCCACATGATGCCCTCGTGGGGGGTGACTAAATACTGTTCCGTCTGAAGTCTGGAGTGAAGTCCGTCAGGAGTCTGTCAGTCAGTCAGAGCAAGCGAGTCAGTCAGTCGAGTCAGAGGCAGTCCGTAACAGAGTCGCGTTCAGACAATTACTACTAAACCTGATTGTTCGGACTAACACTTTCTTCTTCTCTGTATATATTCTTGTTTGTAACATATCTGTGTTATTCCATATCCGTGTTCGAGTTCTTCTTTATTGGTTCTACCTTGGACTATCACCGTGGTGCAAGGAACCGGACTATAACAATAATATATGAAGGCTTTCAGTGAAGCCGACTTGAACATTGGGATCAACTCAGTACAAATATTAAAGTTAACAGCACGCTGTTACTCTTAATGATAGCCTTACATGCCACTGGCTTTCTCGTAAGCAGTAAAGTAGGCCTTGTGTCAACTCGCTAAAAGATGTGACAATTGATCCTCAATCAATCGAGCAAAACGGCTCAACTACATGTTTCACCGGTCTAAGAGTTTGCAAAACAGTTGCAGACGTAAGGAAATACATGCGTGTGCATAAAAGTGGATTACCACTTTATTATACTCATTTGTATATATGACTTACCTATGTCATATCTGTATAAGTTTATCTTACTTATTATAAAACGCAGATTGTGTGTGTGTGTGTGTCTGTACGTTTATATATTGGATCGGATTTCCTACATTTTTCAACCGATTTCAACAAAACTTCACAGGACTGCGTAAAATTACCTTTGCGATGGTTCTGACAACGGCCAAAAATTGGAAAAACACAATTGTTTTTGCACGAAATCAATTTGAAAACACGATAAAACAGGATTCTGTCGCCAGAATGAAAAGGGGACAACTCATATCGAGTTATACTTATTATAAAACCCAGGTTGTGTGTGTGTGTGTGTGTGTGTGTGTTTTTATATATGGGATCGGATTTCCTACATTTTTCAACCGATTTCAACAAAACTTCACTTTTTTTTGGCAGGTAGTGTTTCTTATTGTCTTGCACACTTTTTTCGTTATTTTTACATTCAGAATGCTTTAAAAATTCCATTTACAAGACAATTGTTTATAATAAAATTCTATTCAACCGGTAGACTCATAACGATTGAAAACAATGTTTTTGTTTGAGTTTGGGTTTGACTAATTCGTAAAAAAAAACAAAAAAAAAACTAATTAAGACATGCGTGTCCGTCAACATTAAACAATAATCTTTGTCAATTTTATTTTTCAGTCTTCATGATTGTCGATACTTGATCTATCTCTTACTGTTACATCCCCGGACAACGCCGGGCTCTACTGATAGTATAACTATATATCTGTAAACACACTCACGCACTCAGAGGCAAAAAATTAGATATAACTAAAAATCTATGTGTAAAAATACACTATGTATAAGGACTAAAGGAAAACATATCTGAGCCAATGCCATTAGTTCTCTGATGGAATTTATCAAGGCAAATATAAGGATTGTCTTTTTTATACATACACGCACACACACACACGCGCATACACACACACATATGTGTGTGCGTGTGTGTGTATGTATGTATGAATGTATAGTACACAATAGAATCCAGAATTCCCTCATGTGGAGAATAGG